TCGCCGAGCTGGGTATGAGTGAACTCAGTGGGTCAAGGGGGGGGGGGGTCAGGATGGACAGGTGGACCAGTCAAACCGGACTCGCCGAGTCATTCTTGGAGACTCGACGAGTTGAGTCGTGGTGGCCCCACAACTCGTGCCAGGTGGAGCTCGTCGAGTTGGGAAGGGATGCTCGACATGTCAAGAGAGGATTCCAGGGAAATTGGTGATTTCGCTCAGACTCGCCGAGTCGCTATAGTGCACTCGCCGAGTCCGGTCAAGTTGACCGTGACCAGCGTTGACCTAGATTGTCTGTTATGGTATAGTCAACCCTAGTTGGGAAAGTGTTAATTAGAGATATATTGTGCTATAGGGGGACTTCAGCTCGGCAGATCGAGTGTTTAGCGATTTCAGGGTTACGGTTTACCGAGACACACGAGGTGAGTCTTCTCACTATACTTCACCTTGAGTAGGTAACCAGAGTTATGTGATAGAGTAACTGTATGCTATGTATGTTATGTGTTGTACTGCATTACTTTTATATGTCTGATGCTGTGCATGTTTACAGAGTTAGAACCTGAGGGTTCGCAGAGTTTGGGTGCACGGACCCACAGAGTTATAGCCTCGAGTGGCTAATATGTGTTATATGTAGTATTTTGGGAAACTCACTAAGCCTTGTGCTTACAGTGTTGATGTTATTTGTTTCAGGTGCTAGTGACGACCATGGGAAGGCGCCGGCTTGATCCGTACACACACGTTTGGAGTTTGACATTTTGATCTTGGGATTTGTAAATATCTTGTTGAACAATTAAAAGGGGTTGTTCTATGAATATTGATGGAATTATGCTTTTATAAAAAAAAAAAAAAAAAAAAAAATTGTTTGAAAGATCAGTGTTACATAAGGAGTTAAAAATGAAGAAATATGATGTAATAAGATGAGAAAATTATTAGGTAACAGGTTAAGAAGATATAAATGCACCATCATCATCCTTGTTGTGTTGGACATAGAATGGGTGCATACCAACCAACTTGATGAACAACAAATCAACCTCCAAAAGAGAGATAACATCCTCAGATTCCTCATTGGAATGATAATATCAACCTCCAAAAGAGAGATAACATCCTCAGATTCCTCATTGGACTTTGATGAAGCACCAGCATTTTCATCTGCAATTTCCATCAGATTATTAGTAAATAAGGAACAACCTAAAAGATTAGATAAAACACTAACCAGATTGTGCACATCAAGAAGTTCCTCAAGTTCAAAAATCCAATTAACACCACCAGACAGTTCGATGAACTTTCTATGCAGCTCCAAGATGTCACCAAAGGCCAAGAAGCTTTGAGATACAACTGATGCCAAAAACCGCAATGTATGTGCAAGCTCACCTGCTAACAAAAAAAACCCACTCACATCCAAACAAAAAAAATAAAAGCCTACATTTCATTAGGTTCAGGTAATCGATTCACAACTACTAAACTATTTCCAATTGTGGTAAACAAATGTCATGATGAATCGGAATTGAGAATGGAATTGACCTTGAGTGGAAGTCAATGAATGATCAGCTTTTTGACCTTTTATTCGTTTATTTTTTAACATTTTGTTTGAATAACATACACATTCCCAAAGCTGTTCTTTGCATAGGCTCCACCCTCATGGCCAACATACATAAAAAGAGATCCAAAGTGTTTGAGTGAAACCTAATAACACCATGGAAGTCAATCAGAAGATACCATCTCATGAGTAAAGGAACATCGGCCTTCACCCATACAAAAGATAGTTATACCATATCATGAGTAAATCTTAAAGAAGTGGTAATTTCATTGTCATTAGTAAAAATCCATCTGTACATTAAATACTTTATATGCAAGACGAGGATGGGTTCTAGTTTTACTTATCTTCAATTTTGACCAACCATTTTTCATAAATAATCACATGAAAGGATTCAAAAAGAAGCTGGAACCTACAAATGCTTGTAGACTATGTATTCTTCTAAATTCAACCCTCCATGAAAATGTTCATGAGCAATTATTCACCACGCCTTGCTTTAAAGAAAAAAAAATGATTCCAATTAAATCACAAACAAAAAAGTGGATCTTGATTATTGATAAAGTTGTTAAATTTAGTAAGAACATTTATTCCAAATCTACCCTACTGAACCCCAATACACCCAATTTACAGAAAAGTAAAGAATAACAAGAGACTAATTGACCAAATTTATGTTATATCAAAAAGTATATACTTTGATGAAAAGTAATTAAATAAAAAAACTAACACTTAGCGAGTAGCTTGAATGCTGCACGACCACTTAGCGAGTGGCCTCGCCGAGCTGGGATGAGTGAACTCAGTGGGTCAAGGGGGGGGGGGTCAGGATGGACAGGTGGACCGAGTCAAACCGGACTCGCCGAGTCATTCTTGAGACTCGGCGAGTTGAGTCGTGGTGGCCCCACAACTCATGCCAGGTGGAGCTCGTCGAGTTGGGAAGGGATGCTCGACGTGTCAAGAGAGGATTCCAGGGAAATTGGTGATTTCGCTCAGACTCGCCGAGTCGCTATAGTGCACTCGCCGAGTCCGGTCAAGTTGACCGTTGACCAGCGTTGACCTAGATTGTCCTGTTATGGTATGTCAACCCTAGTTGGGAAAGTGTTAATTAGAGATATATTGTGCTATAGGGGGACTTCAGCTCGGCAGATCGAGTGTTTAGCGATTTCAGGGTTACGGTTTACCGAGACACACGAGGTGAGTCTTCTCACTATACTTTACCTTGAGTAGGTAACCAGAGTTATGTGATAGAGTAATTGTATGCTATGTATGTTATGTGTTGTACTGCATTACTTTATATGTTTGATGCTGTGCATGTTTACAGAGTTAGAACCTGAGGGTTCGCAGAGTTTGGGTGCACGGACCCACAGAGTTATAGCCTCGAGTGGCTAATATGTGTTATATGTAGTATTTTGGGAAACTCACTAAGCCTTGTGCTTACAGTGTTGATGTTATTTGTTTCAGGTGCTAGTGACGACCGTGGGAAGGCGCCGGCTTGATCCGTACACACACGTTTGGAGCTTGACATTTTGATCTTGGGATTTTGTAATATCTTGTTGAACAATTAAAAGGGGTTGTTTCTATGAATATTGATGGAATTATGCTTTTATAAAAAAAAAATTTTGTTTGAAAAATCAGTGTTACAAATTGGTATCAGAGCCTTGGTTTGAGGGATCGGGTACACCTTCGGGGGTATTTGAACTCAAACTGAGGAAATGAAGAGATATTTTCAAAATAAAAACCAAAATTTTCTAAGAGTAAAGGGTTTTCCAGGAAGAAACGTGTGTACGATCAGTCAGCGCCCGAACGGTGAATTCCCAAAATATCTTTTGTTATGTAATAACTATTATTGTGATGTGTGTGCATGCTAGAGTAGGCTAGGTATTGCTGATAGGGCTAGAGTGGCCTGTTTTGTGATGCCTTAGCTTAGGGAATGGTGAGCTGCTACGAGACGCTGAGAGTAATTAGGTAGCAGCTAGGGTTTTGTGTGAGATCTGTTCAGAGAGATTTAAGTATAATAGAGTACTTGGGGACTGGGATCCGAAGAGGACGATTTGGGGTGTGTACCGAGACGGTGCGGACAGTAGTATTGGGCCCGTACTACTAAAAGCACCGGAGCGGTACACAGTTCAAATAAGAATCTGGGGATGCCAAGAATCAAGGAGGGGTGGATTGTTGAATGTAAGGGTGTTCGAGTGAATTCTAATTATCACATGTTGTATTTCAGAGGTTGATCATGGTGAGGACACGACACATGCCGGAGGATGCCGGATCTAGTGATGAGGACATTCGACAGATCATTCATGAGGAGGTGGCTGCGGTCATCAGAGCCGAGATACCAGAGATGTTCGGGTCCATTAAGACCGCTTTGATTGAGACGTTTGACGAGCGCTATGCCGCTCTTTCTGAGGCTGCGGTTGCAGCAGCTACCGCAGCGATTGCTGCGGCAAGACCCCAGGGAGGTGATGCGATGTTGTTCAGGGAGTTCAGCAACACCAAGCCACCAGAGTTTGATGGTACACAGGACCCGGTGGCAGCTATGAGGTGGATATCTGATATGGAGGGATGCTTCTTCACTTGCTCGTCCCCTGAGCATTTGAAGGTTCGGTTCGCGCTGAACCAGCTTCGCTTGGGAGCGAAGGACTGGTGGAAGTTTGTGACTGCGCATTTCACACCGACCGAGCTTGCGGCAGTGACCTGGGAGAGGTTCACTTCCATGTTCCGAGATGAGTATGTTCCTCAGGTGGAGAGGGAACGTCTGGCACAGGAGTTTCTGACCCTCAAGCAGGGTACCGAGTCAGTTACAGCGATTACGAGGATGTTTCAGGAGAGGGCGATGTTTTGCCCTGAGCACGTATCCACCGAGCAGGCACGTATGAGCCGTTATCTGAGCATTTTGAGACGGGATATTCGGGAGTTCGCTGCGAACTCCTCGTACCGGACATTTGCCGAGCTTCAGGCAAATGCTCGGAAGAGGGAGATTGAGCTTGAGACTCAGGCCAGGGAGGAGGCGGAGTCTATGGGGAGGGATCGGCGGCCGGCACAGTCCCAGCCGGCAGCCAAGCGGGCCAAGCCCGCTGATCCCAGACCCGGGAGCCAGAAGGGCCGCACTTGTGGGAAGTGCGGCAAGGGTCACGATGGCGCCTGTCGGGCAGGGTATTGCTACAAATGTGGCAAGGAGGGGCATATGGCTAAGGACTGCCCCAAGGGATTTGCAGTGTGCTTCCACTGCAACCAGACCGGACACCGGAAGGCGGAGTGTCCACTGTTGCGCGGGGCATCTCAGGGGTCTGCCCCCGCCGCCATCAGAGCTGCTGCTGCAGAGAGTCGGCCCGTGAAGGCCGAGCACCAAGGGCTCGGGGAGAGCCTTCCAGCTGACTGCGGAAGAGGTCCGCGCCGCACCCGACGTTGTGGCTGGTATGTTTCCTTTTCATTATTGTTTATGATGTTGAGATATTATGCTTATATCATGCTATGCTTAGGTACCTTCCTTGTGAATTCTGTACCTGCTTTAGTGTTATTTGACTCGGGTGCGAGTCGATCTTTTGTGTCTTTGGCATTTAGTCAGCGTATCAGTGTTAGTCGTGGAGTATTGAGTCGGCCCCTGCGGGTTTCCATAGCCGCCGACAGAGTGATTTGTGCTACAGAGGTCTTCCGGGGATGTGTATTGGAGATATTCGGGGTCGAGTTTCCGATCGACCTGATTCCGATTGCGATGGGTGATGTTTGTGTTATAGTGGGCATGGATTGGTTGAGCCGATTCGGTGCGGTTATCGATTGCGAGCGACAGTTGGTGACTACGAGATCCTAGTGGGGGAGTTCTTTCAGTATACGGCGAGGGTACACGTTCTGGATCAGCCTTTTGTTCGGCTGCTAGGGCGAGGCAGTGTTTACAGCAGGGCTGTAAGGGTTATGTAGCGTATGTGATGGATACGCGAATGATCTCCGAGAGACCGAGCTCTGTGGAGGAAGTTCCGGTGGTGCGGGAGTTTCCAGATGTATTTCCCGAAGAGTTACCAGGTGTGCCTCCCGCGAGGCAAGTGGAGTTTGGCATCGATTTGGTTCCGGGGGCCGCACCTATTGCTAAGGTGCCGTATCGCCTTGCGCCTCCAGAATGCAGGAGTTATCCTCGCAACTTCAGGAGTTGCTGGGGAAGGGGTTTATTCGGCCGAGTAGCTCGCCGTGGGGAGCACCCATCTTGTTTGTGAAGAAGAAGGATGGCTTGCATCGCATGTGTATTGATTACCGGGAATTGAATAAGCTGACGGTCAAGAACCGTTATCCGCTGCCGAGGATCGACGATCTATTCGATCAGCTACAGGGAGCATCTTGGTTCTCCAAGATTGATTTGAGGTCGGGCTATCATCAGGTGAGAGTGCGGGATGAGGACGTCCAGAAGACAGCATTCAGGACGCGTTATGGGCATTATGAGTTTGTGGTGATGCCTTTTGGGCTCACTAATGCCCCGGCTGTGTTCATGGACCTCATGAACAGGGTATGTCGGCCGATGTTGGATCGGTCGGTGATTGTTTTCATTGATGATATTCTGGTATATTCGAGATCTAGTGAGCAGCACGAGGAGCATTTGAGGGAGGTGCTTGGGGTTTTTAGAGCGGAGAAACTTTACGCAAAGTTCTCCAAGTGCGATTTCTGGTTACGGGAGGTCCAGTTTCTGGGACATCTCGTTAACCAGAAGGGGATATTAGTCGATCCGGCCAAGGTTGACGCAGTGATGAGGTGGGAGGTGCCGAGGTCACCTTCTGAGATACGGAGTTTCCTCGGGTTGGCAGGGTATTATCGGAGATTTATTAAGGATTTCTCCAAGATTGCGGTTCCACTCACCAGATTGACCCGGAAGGGTGTGGCATTTGCATGGGGTCCCGAGCAGCAGACCTCCTTTGAGACGCTTCGCCAAAGGTTGTGTGAAGCTCCAGTATTAGCCCTTCCGGAAGGTATGGAAGGTTTTGTCGTATTCTGTGATGCATCGATCCTAGGATTAGGGGCGGTATTGATGCAAAGGGGTCATGTGATAGCTTATGCATCGAGGCAGTTGAAGCCTCACGAGACGAGGTACCCCACACATGATTTGGAGTTGGGGGCAGTGGTGTTCGCCCTCAAGATTTGGCGGCACTACTTGTATGGGGTTCGTTGTACGATTTACACGGACCATAAGAGTTTGAAGTACTTGATGGATCAGCCTAACCTAAATATGCGGCAGAGGAGATGGTTAGACGTGGTCAAGGATTATGTATGTGAGATCTTGTACCACCCGGGCAAGGCTAATGTGGTAGCCGACGCGTTGAGTCGCAGGGTGGAGAGTACTCCCCTGCGAGATGTATGTTTGAGATTGACCGTGATAGCTCCAGTTCTGGACGCCATTCGTGGGGCTCAGGCCGAGGCCGTGCGTCCGGAGATGCAGAAGAGAGAGTGGGTTGTTGGGATGGTTTCTGAGTTTATATCGGATAGTCGAGGCCTTATGACTTATCAGGGCAGGATCTGGGTACCGTTTGTGGGCGGTACCCGTGCTACATTGATGGAGGAGGCTCATAGATCGAAATTTTCGATCCACCCCGGGGCCACAAAGATGTATTTGGATCTAAGGAAGGAGTATTGGTGGCCCTGTATGAAGAGGGATGTAGCATGGTTTGTCGAGAGGTGTTTGACCTGTCGAAGGGTAAAGGCCGAACACCAGAGACCGCATGGCAAGTTGCAGCCATTGGAGGTTCCCGAGTGGAAGTGGGAACAGATCACTATGGACTTTATCACCAAATTGCCGAGGACTGCCAGAGGAGTTGATGCAATTTGGGTGATTGTGGATAGATTGACAAAGAGCGCTCACTTTCTTGCCATCAGTGAGAGTTCTTCAGCAGAGAAGTTGGCAGAGGTTTACGTGAGGGAGGTTGTATCTCGGCATGGGGTGCCGATCTCGATTATTTCAGACCGCGATGTGCGTTTCACTTCCCGTTTTTGGAAGAAATTTCATGAGGAGTTGGGTACTAAGTTGCATTTTAGTACCGCATACCACCCCCAGACCGACGGTCAGAGTGAGCGGACGATACAGACACTCGAGGACATGCTTCGAGCTTGTGTATTGGATTTTGGGGGTAGTTGGGACTCGTATTTGCTCTAGCGGAGTTTTCCTACAATAACAGCTATCATTCGAGCATTGGTATGCCGCCCTTTGAGCTGTTATATGGTAGGAGGTGTCGGACTCCCATATGTTGGGGAGAGGTTGGGCAAAGGGTAATGGGCAGTACAGAGATCGTGAATCAGACGACAGAGCAGATACAGCTGGTCAGGCAGAGGTTAGTGACCGCTCAGAGCCGGCAGAAGAGTTACGCGGATAGGCGCCGGTCCGAATTGGAATTTCAGGTCGGCGACTTTGTTCTCCTGAAGGTCTCTCCTTGGAAAGGAGTGATCCGGTTCAGGAAGAGGGGCAAATTGGGACCCCGGTTTATTGGCCCGTTTCGTGTGATCGCCAGGGTGGGCCGGGTAGCCTATCGGCTGGAGTTACCAGCAGAGTTGGGACAGATTCACAACACTTTTCATGTATCGCAGTTGAGGAAATGTATAGCCGATGAGTCGGCAGTGGTTCCACTTGAGGATATTCAGGTTGATGCGAGCCTGAATTATGCGGAGAGACCAGTGGCTATTAGGGATCAGAAGATCAAAGTTTTGAGGAACAAGGAGGTACCTCTGGTATTGGTTCAGTGGCAACATCGGAAGGGATCAGAGATGACCTGGGAGCCGGAGGATATGATGCGGGAGCAGCATCCGGAGCTGTTTTAGAGCGAGACTTCGAGGGCGAAGTCCAGTTCTAGTGGGGGAGAGTTGTAACATCCGGATTTTTACCAGGTATAATGTAAGTTTAATTGTATTATTTTGTAAGAGGGACTCGGCGAGTCAGGGCTCAGACTCGCCGAGTAGGTGCGCCGGATTGAGCGAAGGTGCGCGCTTGGACTCGGCGAGTCCAGGGTATGGACTCGGCGAGTCTGCGCTGTGTTATGGAACCCTAAACCCCCAGATTTGTGGCCTATTTAAGGGGCCTTATGGCCGTCATTTGCGCTCATCCAACCCCCAGAGTGTGTCCCTAGAGTTCTTGAGCGTTTGGTGAAGGATTGAGAGCAAATCTTGACCTTGTGAGTGTTGTTTAGCAAGAAGAAGGAGGCTCTAGGCAAGAGGAGGCAAAGGAGGTTGCTATTTCGTGGATTTGGAGCTTGGATCATCACTTTAAAGGTAATATTTTCGGACCATTTTCTGTTTGGTGAAACTTGATGCAAGTTAGGGCTTAATATGATCATTATGGGGTGATTTGGTGCCCTTTTGTTCCCTCTTTGAGTTGAGACCATGGATCTGGATCCATAGAGGTCCAGAGGGCCTCACTCATCAAGCTTTATGGGTGGAAATGGAGTCCTTGGCCTTGTGTTGAAGTAGTAGAGTCAAAAACATCATTTGTGATCATGTAGAGGTTATTTATGCATCAAGATTGTGACTTTACGTGCTAAATAAGCTGGGGGGACTGGATCTATGGATTAGTGGACTGGATCTGGCCTTTAGAGCGAGATTGAGTCAGTGCATGGCTCCGACTCGCCGAGTCCGAAGAACAGACTCGGCGAGTAGCTTGAATGCTGCACGACCACTTAGCGAGTGGCCTCGCCGAGCTGGGATGAGTGAACTCAGTGGGTCAAGGGGGGGGGGGTCAGGATGGACAGGTGGACCGAGTCAAACCGGACTCGCCGAGTCATTCTTGAGACTCGGCGAGTTGAGTCGTGGTGGCCCCACAACTCGTGCCAGGTGGAGCTCGTCGAGTTGGGAAGGGATGCTCGACATGTCAAGAGAGGATTCCAGGGAAATTGGTGATTTCGCTCAGACTCGCCGAGTCGCTATAGTGCACTCGCCGAGTCCGGTCAAGTTGACCGTTGACCAGCGTTGACCTAGATTGTCCTGTTATGGTATAGTCAACCCTAGTTGGGAAAGTGTTAATTAGAGATATATTGTGCTATAGGGGGACTTCAGCTCGGCAGATCGAGTGTTTAGCGATTTCAGGGTTACGGTTTACCGAGACACACGAGGTGAGTCTTCTCACTATACTTCACCTTGAGTAGGTAACCAGAGTTATGTGATAGAGTAACTGTATGCTATGTATGTTATGTGTTGTACTGCATTACTTTATATGTCTGATGCTGTGCATGTTTACAGAGTTAGAACCGAGGGTTCGCAGAGTTTGGGTGCACGGACCCACAGAGTTATAGCCTCGAGTGGCTAATATGTGTTATATGTAGTATTTTGGGAAACTCACTAAGCCTTGTGCTTACAGTGTTGATGTTATTTGTTTCAGGTGCTAGTGACGACCGTGGGAAGGCGCCGGCTTGATCCGTACACACACGTTTGGAGTTTGACATTTTGATCTTGGGATTTTGTAATATCTTGTTGAACAATTAAAAGGGGTTGTTTCTATGAATATTGATGGAATTATGCTTTTATAAAAAAAAAAAAAAAAAAAAAAAATTGTTTGAAAGATCAGTGTTACATAAGGAGTTAAAAATGAAGAAATATGATGTAATAAGATGAGAAAAATTATTAGGTAACAGGTTAAGAAGATATAAATGCACCATCATCATCCTTGTTGTGTTGGACATAGAATAGGGTGCATACCAACCAACTTGATGAACAACAAATCAACCTCCAAAAGAGAGATAACATCCTCAGATTCCTCATTGGAATGATAATATCAACCTCCAAAAGAGAGATAACATCCTCAGATTCCTCATTGGACTTTGATGAAGCACCAGCATTTTCATCTGCAATTTCCATCAGATTATTAGTAAATAAGGAACAACCTAAAAGATTAGATAAAACACTAACCAGATTGTGCAGCATCAAGAAGTTCCTCAAGTTCAAAAATCCAATTAACACCACCAGACAGTTCGATGAACTTTCTATGCAGCTCCAAGATGTCACCAAAGGCCAAGAAGCTTTGAGATACAACTGATGCCAAAAACTGCAATGTATGTGCAAGCTCACCTGCTAACAAAAAAAACCCACTCACATCCAAACAAAAAAAATAAAAGCCTACATTTCATTAGGTTCCGGTAATCGATTCACAACTACTAAACTATTTCCAATTGTGGTAAACAAATGTCATGATGAATCGGAATTGAGAATGGGAATTGACCTTGAGTGGAAGTCAATGAACGATCAGCTTTTTGACCTTTTATTCGTTTATTTTTTTAACATTTTGTTTGAATAACATACACATTCCCAAAGCTGTTCTTTGCATAGGCTCCACCCTCATGGCCAACATACATAAAAATAGATCCAAAGTGTTTGAGTGAAACCTAATAACACCATGGAAGTCAATCAGAAGATACCATCTCATGAGTAAAGGAACATCGGCCTTCACCCATACAAAAGATAGTTATACCATCTCATGAGTAAATCTTAAAGAAGTGGTAATTTCATTGTCATTAGTAAAAATCCATCTGTACATTAAATACTTTATATGCAAGACGAGGATGGGTTCTAGTTTTACTTATCTTCAATTTTGACCAACCATTTTTCATAAATAATCACATGAAAGGATTCAAAAAGAAGCTGGAACCTACAAATGCTTGTAGACTATGTATTCTTCTAAATTCAACCCTCCATGAAAATGTTCATGAGCAATTATTCACCACGCCTTGCTTTAAAGAAAAAAAAGGATTCCAATTAAATCACAAACAAAAAAGTGGATCTTGATTATTGATAAAGTTGTTAAATTTAGTAAGAACATTTATTCCAAATCTACCCTACTGAACCCCAATACACCCAATTTACAGAAAAGTAAAGAATAACAAGAGACTAATTGACCAAATTTATGTTATATCAAAAAGTATATACTTTGATGAAAAGTAATTAAATAAAAAAACTAACACTATATTAAAGTAAAAGACAGGAGGATATCAAATTAATAAGAGGCAATAAAATTTAGTCGGTGATCTTGAGGATTCAGATGATGTATAAAAGCATATCAAAATAATTAATAAACACATTTGAGTAGATAAAAGCATAAAAGATGGATAAAGAATGTGCCTACAACAGTTAACTTTTTTTAAAAGAACAAAGATAATGAAGAAAAACTACCTGTAGCTGCCTTAAGGTGTCAAGCCAAGCACTCTCCCTGAAAACCATAACATCCACAACATATTAGAATCCTTGTACCATAGGTCTTAGACGAGCGTGTTTTTGGGTATGGCATAGGGATGCCATCTATTCTCAAAAAATGAAGTTAAACACAATCTTGTATCCTTTCTTCCTGTGGTCTAACTGCATAACAATCACCAATTGAAAAACATCAAATATATGATTGTACCTGAATAACCTTAACATCTTATCATAATTTTTCATCAAGAATGCTCTTAATAACCTACTTTTCATAAGAAGCTAAACTTAAAATCTGGATTGAGATACATATCTTGTGGGACCGAATAGTTGGGATCAACACTTCTATGGTTTCAAGAATAAAAATTTGAATTTGCAGCATACTTTCTTACTTAAGCCAGTAAGAGAATGTCTCAATGTAACGATGATAAAGTCAGGACGATGTTAGAGGCGATGATAAAACATAGGTGTTATTGATGAAATACCTGGTGGTTACGTGGCATGAAATCCGAGATGTTAGAAGCGATGATAAAGCCCGGACGATGAACGAACTGGATAGAAAGAAAGCAAATGAAACTGAAACTCCTCAAAGAAGAGTAGACAGTGCGAGTAGAAGTTATTGCAGAGTGGGATACGAATACTGACATTCACGTAGAAATAGGAAGAGAGGTGGCGAGTGGCGAGGTTGGTGCTCGTTTTTGGTCAACAGATGGCGGATTAAGAGGGGTTTTTAGCTTGGGTGTTCATAACCCCCGAAATCACACTTTTTATTGGATTGTAATGAAGAACGCCATTGGAGTTGTTGTTGTTGCTGCTGCCGTTTGTATTGTTGCTAGCTAAAACAACAGCGTGAATCCGATTGGTGGAGTAAAACGGGATGAAAGACTGGAAATTAGGTTTGGGGGGAAACGCCAGAGGAAAACCTACCGTGAAGTCTTCTACCTCAGCGTAAGGTCATAGCTTGGCAGCCAAGCTTCACCACGATATCGTTGGTCGATTTGTAACGAGGAAGGCCTGACGTCGCCGGAGGAGAAGTGACCAAAGGTGAAGCAAGGTGAATCGTCCATTGTTTCAGAGCTAAGAGAGATGCGAGAGTGTTTTCGTTCTTGAAAAAAGCCCTAGCTAAAATGGTCACAACGATTTTGTGGAATTTAGTATTTGGTGATGTTTTAGGATTTTGCTGTGCAAGAAAATAGGAGTGGTTATGATATTAGGGTTTTTTTTTGGGTATTGATCAGTGAGGGGGAGAGAAGAACGATGGAAATAATGCAGAGGATGAACAAGATGTTTGATGATACTGAAGATGAAGATAAGGGACATGGGGTTTTTTCTTGCTAAGTAGAAGAGGCGGGGGGATTAATTTTTGGGATTCAATAGGCGGGGTAATTTTCGTCGATTTCATTTCCCGCCTAAAACGCGTGTTTCACTTAAAAATTATAAAGCGACACATTTACACGACGCACATTTTATGAAAGGCGCCCTCCGCATTTCTTTTTTTTTTCTTTTCTGACACTAATTTTAGGGCGCGCACAAATACGTGCCCTCTATCCTTCAAATTTTGCAAAACTGACATTATCTTTTAGGGCACTTACAAATGCGCGTCGTCTATCAACTAGCGTCATTGTTTGCGCGTCATTAAAGGCCTTTTTTCTTGTAGTGCATTAATTTATCATTTTGTTCCGAGCATGAAAAACCAATAGACCGGTCCTGATTGTATATTGATCCGGACTTCCGCATTGTCCATTGATATGATTGCAAGTAATGTCAAGATATGTGTGTTAATCCCTCTGGCAAGATACAGGGTGTTACATGTAGGGTAGGGTGTCAGTCAATGACACCACACAACAAAATTACACAAAACTAAATTGGGATGAAACTGAAATCTGAGTTCGTGTTTTTGTCTGGCGTAAAAAACAGAATGTCATGTTCTAGTGTGGTTATGTTCAAATTTTGACATGATATTTACCCATATTTGTCGTATTTTGTATACTTAAGTATGAATTAAATAAATTAATGATTATTTTATGTTATTTTTGTTGTGTGGTATCGTGTTTTAACTAGATCGTTTTCGTATTAGTAAAAGAATATACGTCATCATGTTATGTTTTGTTCGTGTTAGCTAAGACATCATTGGGCCCGTGTCACCCAATAAATTATCGTGTCGTGCCAAGTAAAAAAAAACATCAGACGATTGTTCAATTTATCATTCATGATGTAGCGTAAATATCTTGGTGGCTATCGGTATTGATATTCTTTTTGCACAAAATGATGTCATTTTTTGCCCTCATGTGTAACATATTTTATATGTTAGCAAACCAAAATGCGACAGTTGTAAAATTTCTTAAATACATACTTTTTTCGAAGCAACAAAGTAAAGCTTGAAAATCGCACAAATTGTTTGTGGTTTTGATTCTATGATGCCTTAATCAACTATTCCTTCAAATGAGACTTCCGCGTGTATTTTAAAACCCAAAAAGAACCTATGAACTTCAAAATAATTGACATTGGTGATAATCTCGTTTTTTCCATGTTAGCTACGTAAGTTATCCAAAACAAAAAAGATCCATGTCATTTTGTTTTTCTAAATGCTAGCTACGAAGCTTAGCAAGTAAATGAAATGATACAGGAAAATTTCCTTGATTTAACTAGTTCACAAATATTAAATGACTTCTATGCAGAAAAAAATAAGTCAATAATGTTTTTTCTCCGAAATGAAAGCAAAATATAAATACTTTCTTAGAATTTCTCTTTAATATTTTAAGTCTAATCCCTGCATGATATTGTTGATCTAGCCGTATTTTATTTAAATTGTTTAACCTGTCAACTCACTTTGCATAAATTAACTACCATGTGTGATATAAATTTTATGTCATATATAAAGAGTCTCCGCTCTCATAGCATTTTTAAGATCCAAGAGTTGGGGTTGGACACAAAACTTCATACGTTATATTTTTGGTAGATGTTTGTAGACTTAGAAGATAATAACTTCTGATTTACAATAGTTTATATATTAATTATTTTGTCGAAACATCAATAGTTAACGAGATTTTTTTATTAGGTTGGTTTAATTTTTAATTGTGAATGGTAATTTTGTTGTAGTACTATAATTGATAAAGATAATTGCTTACTAACTTAAATTTAAGAGTAACTATTTAAAAAATAGAATGATATAAATCATCATTGACCGGTTCCGAAAATTTACTGGGTCATTCCAATTTGTTAAATTTAGGACTTAATATTTACTTTTTTATATTCGAATTCAGAGTTTTTTTTAATATGATTGACAGAATTATGTGTAAACATATGACATGATTTTTCATTTCCTGTTAAGATCAAGAGAGAGAAATTATGATTATTCTTTTATTGATTGAATTCATTAAGTTACAACTGAACCGAAATAAAATATTTTTATACAACAATCTATCTTAACTAAATATAGCAAACAATAACATATAAATGACAAAATGCCCCTGAGTCTATAACAAACAATAATGGTTGTAACTAACTTCTCAAGAGTAAGTGTAACACCCTCTCTCTCTCTCTCTCTCTCTCTCTCTCTCTCTCTCTCTCTCTCTCTCTCTCTCTCAATCTGGAGGGTACGAATGAATCCACATATTGGATATAGCTTGAGAATTGTAACATCCATGACTTGAGGTAATGCTAATTATTTAATATTGTAATTAATTGTTGGACTATGAGATTAATGTTGGATCACTGAGTTGGGCCTTCATTGAGTTAGGCCTTTATTGTGTTAGGTGACTGAATCCGTACGTTGGGCGTAGTGAGGACATTGGATACGGGGGGTGATGCTCGTACGCGCAACGTACATAAGCTGACTCAAAACCCTAATTTTTAGGATTTAGGTCATATATACATCATTATGTCCCATACCCCAGCCTCCTTAACTCAGAACCCCTAGAAACCTAACCTTTTTCATCTTTGTGTGATCTTGATCTTGTGAAGTCCATTTTAGTAGCTTGGGGCTTGGAAGGAGAAATAGGAAGTTGATGAAGAAGAACTTGTGTAGCTTGAGCTTAAGGATTTAAGACATCATCATCATCATTTAGCACTCATTTGAGGTAAAAAGCTCAAATCTTGCATCATAAATGCTTAGATCTTGTGTAATTGGGGTTTTAGACCTTTCGGTCCCAAGAATGGATCTTTATGGTTCCAAATCAGTTTCTAGGCTAAGTGTTGCCACCCTTAGTGCTATTTGAGTCCCAAAGACAGAAAAGTTACCATCTTGAAGGTCTTAATGTGGCCATGCATAAGTATTAGTCATTTCTATGGAAGCTGGTTTCCATATTTCAAGTTTGGGTCTATTTGGGGGTTTGCAAATCACCAAGTAATCAATTTTATGGGTTAAGACATTGGACTCAGGTCTATGTTTGGAGCTTTAGGTCTTAAGGGGTTAAGATCTTTTTGAGATTTTGGCTTAACAAGGTAGTACGTTAGGCGTACAAGCTATGCAGCCTGTACACTTAGCGTATAGAGGAGTACACCTCGTGTACTCCCTAGATTTGCGTTATGCGTCATTTGGGCCTCGGTTTGGGCCATTCCATGGACTTTGCTATTTTGGGGCATAGTGGGCCAACAGAAATCAGTTATTTTGGGCTAAGAATATTTTGGGCTTAAGGGAGGTCCTTTTTGAGGAGTTTGGCCCAATTTAGAAAATTAGGCCATTGGTGAGCCATTAATGGGCTTGGAAAGGCTATCTATAATTAGGCCTTTCATGTTATGGATTTAGGCCTAGGTCATGGACCGGATTAGATCATGGGTAAAATGGTCATTTTAACCTAAGAAGAATTATTGGGTTTTGACTAAGTGTTATTTTGTATTGATAGCTCGTGGAGTCGTCAAAGCAGCCGTTAGAGATTTCTTACCGTGAGATTTTACATTCAGCTTTGCGAGGTGAGTTTTCCTCATGTATGAACGGGTCGAAAGCACCAATGTCAGCTCGTATATGTATGTTAGTATGTTCCGAACTAAGGTCCGAAGATGGGTAGTGCCCGATGTAGGTTTATATGTTTCCAGATTTCAATCCGATGTCGGGTAATACCCGATGCAGGTTTATATTTTTTTCGGATTTCGATCCGATGTCGGGCGGTACCCGAGGAATGATTGTATGCTTTATGTTTTCGTGATTCTTGCATGTGTCTGTATTGTATATTTCCAAGTTACGGTACTATGCCAGGCAATGCCTGAGGAATGTTTGTATGCTTCCGGATTTCGGTCTAATGTCAGGCGGGGCAGGAGGAATGTTTATAGGTTTATGTTATGTGATTATTTATGTGTTTTTGTTGACATGTTTATATATATACCGATATTTGCTCGATACTGGGTGGGGCTCGATGCCAGACATTATCTGATATCGGGCGGCGCCCATTGAAGGGGGGGGGGGAGCATAATATGTTTATATGTGATTATGTGTACGATATGTGGTAGTTTGGGGAGACTCACTAAGGTTTATGCTTATAGTTTATAGTTTTGGTTTCAGGTACTTCCGATAGCAAAGGGAAGAGCTCGGGATGACTGTATTGCACACATTATGATGCTTTAGCATGCGATGTTTACTCGGATATATTTGACAAATGTTTTTGATTGATATACTGTTCATGATGTTTTGAGATAATATGACTTATGTTTTGATGAGATGATTTTGGAAAACTATGGTTTTATTTAATAATTAAAAATGAAATTGGGATGTTTCAAGTTGGTATCAAAGCCTTGGTTTGATGGATTTGGCACACTCTTGGGAGTGTCTGAACTCAAACTGAGGACTTGGTATAAATTTTTTCAAAATAAAACCATTTTTATAAAAAGGATTTTGAAAAGAGAAAAGGGTGTGATGCATGCAAACAGCCGAACTCAAGTAAGTTCTCCCAAAATTACCCATACACGTTTATGTTATGATATGAATTGTGAATACGTGAATTGCATGCTAGATTAAGGCTAAGGATCTTGGAAGGATGCCTTGTATGCCTATTGCATGAGCTTATTGAACTACATGCTAGTATTGATTAGTCGGTAATATGATGACCTGATTAGGATATGCATGGTTTTGTTT